TTCTCCAACATCTATTTTGTGAACACAAGTGTGTAACACCTCTCTTCTCCCCATCACTTCTCTCTCGTTTGTTTGTTGGATGAGGAAGGGATTTTGTTGGGTTCTGATTGACTGCACTTCTGTCGCCTCCCTGCTTTTGCTGGAAAGGGAGGCCTGCAGGTTTATGTACACATCTCCATAGCACCAGGGACCTGCTATTGTAAGAAGTGGGTACCATCATCTCCATCTGACACACTGAGAGTGCACCCTTGAATGTTTTTCTTCAGTCAGAGCGTGGAGAGCTGCCTTCACTCAAAAGATGCAAGTAATTGGAATTTCAGTGTTTCATTGGTTTTAGACTTTAGGAAGGAATTTGCTAACAGCACAATGTTTTGATTGTGTTGTTTAGTTTGAGGTTTAAAGCTAAGCTTGAAGTGTATTTACTGATTTTGGAATTATGCTCTCTTAGACTTGGAAGCTTGATTATATATTTGGAGAAATTTCAATGAGCCATAAGCTATAATGGCAGTTAGAGGTAAAGATTTAACTTTAAGCTTCACTGTCTTTTGCTGCATATAGTTTTAATTACTGTAAGTTGTATTAACATGAGTTAAAGCTCTTAAATCAAACCAATGTAAAATCAAAACAAAACAGCGCAAGTAAATTTAGCATTAAGTCCCTTTATGTCAAAGAAATACATTATCCTGTACTTTTGAAAAATTAATGACTTTCTTATGCATATCTATAATTTCTCTTGGGTACAGCACAAACTTCTAAATACTATGACACTGTTTAATTATTTCAGTCCCCTTAGAGCTAACTTTGTGACTTTAACCCTATAAAAGCCATGCTAGGAAACAGAGATGAGGGGAAAAACACTCTTTTCATTTGCTCAGCTGTGATACTGGAAGTTAAAACCTCATGAAAATTGAACACATTAATTGTTTGCACATACCAGAATCTAATCAGAACCAGAGCTAAACTGCTGTCTGCTTCTGCTTGCGGTCTGAGTTTGGGCCTTTATTTAGGCACTTGCATGGGTTTCCCTTGGGACCTTTTGGTTTGCTTGTAGGCAGTGAAGGGCTGCAGGCAGTTTCAGGTGTGGAATGGGCTGGGCTAACTCAGGCTCATCATAGCCTGGATGGTGAGGAGATCCCAATCCCAACTTGGCTAAATGCTGAAATCAGGACAGTGAATTTAAGTCTCACTGCACAGTTCATAGGGAATGTGTAAAAGAATGTGTTAAACCCGAAGTAGCTAATGAAGTCCATGGAAGATTGCAGGCTAAGCATTAATAGTGTGTTGCTTTATGCTGAGAAATATTTTTGACAAACGTCATTCTTATGAAGCTCCTAAAGTGACACGCTGGACTTAAACTTACTAGTTTGGGTGTTCTTCCTAATAGTACTATAGAAGATTAACTCTTAAACATGTCTTGGATATTTTCACTCCAGTAGTCCAAAGTACTCAAATTTTTGATCTGTTGAATGCCTACCCAGTCTTATAAACTTGGAGACTAACATCCAAATTTTTATAGTCAGCAAGCTTCTACTGAACCACATGTATTTCAGCAGCGTATCCCTTGAAAGGAGTAGATAACTTTCTTTTCATCGCCTTAGTACGTAGATAGACTCAACAGCCTTCAATATTAACCTTGACACACAGGGGAAATTTTTCAGCATCTCAGTAGCGACGTGAAACTTCTGCTTCAATAAACTAGATGGGTTCTGCTGATAAAACTTGGGAGATTTACCAGTATACAGACATCAGAATGGATTAGATTTAGTATTGTGTTGCAGGAAGATTTCTTGATTAGTTTGAAGACTTCCCCCTAAAAAAAAGGTATATCCTTGAATCCGTTACATGTTGAACTGTCTACCCCTGGTGCTGCACTGAGCCGAGCAGTCACATTTGCTTTCGTTCAGTAAGTACCCAAAACAATAGATCTGGCCAGGGAAATGCCTACTAATGCCCAGCAAAGATACTTTAATACTGCTTTCCTGATTAATGCATGAAACAGCCACATCTGCCTCAACATTTACCTCACTATTTGTAAGCATTAAATCCTTGAAATGGTAATTAATGAAGAAAGAGGTCTAGAAGATGTATAAATTAGGGAGGAAATTCTTAACAATGTTAGACAGCATCAGAGTAATATTTAACAAAATAATGAGGTTAGAAAATTGTTTACATTTTCTCAGAGTTGAACTGGCATATTGGTTGATATATTTTGTAGAAAGTGTCCCAATAAAGCTAAATAATAATAATTAATAAAATTAATATCCTATAGTGTATTATTTTCTGCATTGAGTATTTTCCATAGCAAATAAGAATGTATTGTACTTGTCACCATATTTGTTATTTGTAGGATGATTTAAAAAACAAAAATTGGCAGAGCTGAATTTGTCACTTGAGATCAGTACAAACACAGCACAAAAGAACAATCAAAAACCATATAAAAATTGGATTGCTAGCAGGTGCTTCACTGTGTTAAATAATTTCCAGGTGTTATTAAGAGGAGTTTCAAGTGAGTATAAAATTGCTGTTCTCTGCATCAGAAGTATTGCCTTTCCTAAATTGAGTCAGTCCTCAGATTACTATGTAAAGCAATGATCCAAATGTTTGGGGTACATTTGGGGCAGCATTTATGTCTGACCAATTCTACTGAATATGTTTATTATCTTAAAGACACTCTGACTTTGGCCAGATGCTTACTGCATAGCCTTTCTGCATTGCTGATGCACAGCTGTATCTTCAAGAGCAGAAAATGCCCATGGAAGTTGTCTGATGTCTTCATGCACAGATAACTTGTCTGCAGCAGCCCTGCAAGGTCCTGGCCGAAGACAGGGATCTGTGCTGGTCCAGGCAATGTAGCTCTGCAGAAAGATGGGAAAAATAGCATCAAAGTTATCCCTTCTGGTGTAAAAGTTGATGCAAACTGAATTTTGATGCAAAAAGAACCATGGAGACAGTTTTCAACAAAATGCTCCCAGCTTAGAAAACACAGGAGCTGGCTGGCCCAGGATGCCGTCACCAGCTGAGTTTATTGTGTTCCTCTCCCCATCTGTTTGCCATTTTTTCATCTTGTACCGATTTGTTCACGGAGGGAACGTTCTGGAGAAATAGCAAAGGTCGAGTGATAAATCTGCC